AGCTCCAAGGCCATTCTTCAGCTGCCACCTGCCCCCCAGTCCCAGCTGCCCCACCCACGCTGGCACCTGCCTGGCAGCTCCCCACCCACCCCCTCAGCCTTCAGGAGGCCAGGGCCCCGGGCCTGGGGCAGGGCACGCGTGGAACAGGTTGATGCTGTTCTCCCGGAAGTGGAGCAGGAGGGAGGTGGGGTCACTGAGCCAGGTGGAGTCCCTGGAAGCCGGCATCCCTGCCTCCACAGGCATAAAGCAGCCCGTCCTGACAAGGGACAGTCATTCTTCCAACCTGTGGACGGAGCGAGCCCTGGGCCTCACTGCAGACCAGCTGCCGGACAGTACTCGACACTGCTTCTGGTAAGAACCTGTCAACGGCAGAGAAGGCAGGGGCTTTCTGGGGACATAGAGGGACAGGTGGAACCAGAAGAGAGTGGGACTCCTGAGAATCCAGTGGGACGCACATCCTGAAAGTCCTTGCGGAGGGAAGGGAGCGGCGGCCCTGTGAGCATCTCTCTGCCAAGGAGGGGGCAGCAAACACCTGTGCCCTGACCTGGTTCACACAGCTGGTCGCCAGAGGTTGTCTTGTCCCATCCCAGGACGTGGGGTGAACGACACACACCGGGGCTGGCAGGACGGCCCCACGCATCCATGCCTGTGCCCTGCGTCTGTGAGGTACCCACAGGGGGAGGTAAGGTGCTTCCAGACCAGCTGGTGTGTCATCTTCCACCCACGGGCATAATCCGGGCATGCCAGCTGGCCACCCACCCAGCCACTTGGACATGAACTTCAGAGACAGAGACCTGATAATGTGCCCCTCAGGCTCTCACAGGCCCCAGTCCCCAGGGGCCCTTCTCCCCCACGTATGTTTCCCAGGGCCTCTTTCGTTCATTCCATTCCACATCCGCACTCATTCCCCGAGCACCGGCCCTGTGCCAGGCACTGTGCTTGGTGCTGATGCTGCCGAGGTGACTCAGACCCACTTCCTGTGCTCTGGGAGGTCAGGGTCCAGTTGGCAAGAGTCAGGTGACCGGGTCGCTACACCAGTGAGGTGCAGGTGTTTCGGAGGGAGAGCAAAAGCTGCTTCAGGAACACAGGTGGAGTCACCAGCTGCCTGAGGGGTCACGAAGTGGGTCTTGAAGGATGCCGTGGGAGTCTTAAGATCGAGAAGGGGGACTGTAAGAGAAGAAGCAAACGCAGGGAGCAGGAGGGCCCAGGGCAGTGTACCCCCACCCAAAGAAAGGGCAGCGACCTGGGTGAGCAGCTCCGCCTCCCACGCCCTGGGCACAGCGACAGCCCCTTCTCTTCCCCAGCGTCCTCGGACCTGTCACTGGGGTCTGGTGTGACGGAATGAGGATGCTTGATGCCCATGGCTAATGGGATGATCCGGCCAGCTCCGTGTCTGTAGAAAACGAGGGTGGAGCGAGGACAGAGCCTCACCAGGGGAAGGGGCGGTCTGGTTTGCGAGCTGTCTGTACAACTTCGGGCAGCTGGCACAGCTCCTGGCTCTAGTTTCCACATCAAAAACGAAGATTCTTTGGGTTCTCTCCAGCTCAGACAGGGTGCTCCAGGCGTCTTGAAGAGCTCTCCCTGCCTCGGAGCGGAAGGACTGCTCTCTGCAGGAGCCTTACCGTGTCCTGATCTCCTCAGCTGTCACCGTGACACTCTTCCTGTCTCTCCTGCCCTCACAGAGACGATGACCATGTTTGAAAATGTCACGCGGGCCCTGGCCAGGCAGCTAAACCCTCGAGGGGACCTGACACCCCTGGACAGCCTCATTGACTTCAAGCGCTTCCACCCCTTCTGCCTGGTGCTGAGGAAGAGGAAGAGCACGCTCTTCTGGGGGGCCCGGTACGTGCGCACCGACTACACCCTTCTGGATGTGCTGGAGCCCGGCAGCTCGCCCTCAGGTACCCCGGGTGAGGGCCGGGCACTGGGGATCACAGAGCGGGAGCCAGGCAGGAGAACCCCGAAGTCTTTCTGCACAGATGCGGTCGGGTGTCATCCAGCCCAGAGCTCTCATTAGGAGCAGAGGGTGTGGTGGGAAGACGGACACCCCTTGGCACAGCCCCCTCTGTCCTTTGCCCTCCTGCAGATCCAACAGACACGGGCAACTTTGGCTTTAAGAATATGCTGGATGCCCGAGTGGAGGGAGACGTGGACGTGCCGAAGACAGTGAAGGTGAAGGGGACTGCAGGGCTCTCCCGGAACAGCACTCTGGAGGTCCAGACACTCAGCGTGGCTCCCAAGGCCCTGGAGACCTTGCGCGAGGAGAGGTGGGAGTGGAAGGGGCCGCGGGGCTTCCGGGAAGGGCTGTGGCAGTGTGGAAAGGGTGCTTGGATGGCGAGTAGAATAATAGGGCCCTCACACTGACTTTGCCAAGGTGGTCATCGCAGGGAAGCTCCCAAGGATGACCCTCTAGCCTGTGGGTACACCCAAGCCACTCCTGACCACTCCTCCCTGTCCTCTCATCGCCTCCAGGACCCCTCCCACCGTCACGCACTCCTGGGATGAGCATATTCACATTACCCTGCTGAGTGACCCTGGAAAAGTCACTTCTCTTGGGACCTTAGAGTTCTTTCCTGCACACGATGCGGTCGAATGACAGTCTCAACGGTTCCTTCCAGGTCTAAGACCACAAAATACCCTGGAGAGAGAAGGGGTCTGCTCCCTCCTGTGACATGAGCAAGCATTCTGCCCTCATAAACGAAGCCTCCTGGCTGGCCCAATACCCATGCCATCATTCCCCCAGGAATGCGGCCCCAGCAGCACTAAGGGTGTGGCAGATGCTTGTGGACGCTAAGCGCCAGGGATATTTGTCTTGACAGGAGAACTGGCTTCTAAGTAGTTAAGTAGTGGTCGAAAGGCGGTGAGGCCTGGGGAGGCAGAAAGGAAGGGTGGGGTACTGGGGAGCTGCCCAGGAAAGATTTATGTAGCTCTCTCATTAGGTGCAAATCCTACTATGTCCTGGGTGCACCTAGAACACTTTCGCCCTAGAACCTTGTGATCTAGGAGTGTGAAAAATGGACACTAGAGGGACCAGCAGTTAGCGTAATGGCTATGTTGCTGGACTCCCACGCAGTCGACTGCGGTTCGCATCCTGGACCCAGTGGCTTAAACTCATGCCAGGCGCGTGCGCGCGCATGCCCAAGGTCCCGAGAGGTGAATGGAGGAGAAGGGATTGCGGCATGGCCATCCCCCCTGGGGGGTGATTTCTCGCTTTCTATCTCTCTGTCTCTCTCTGTCTTTCTGGCGAGCGCACGTGCCCTATAGCGAAAACCTCTCAAAAAAAAAAAAAAAATGCACACCAGAGCCAGCTCAATGGCCTGGTAGCTAAGGCAGCCAGATCCCACATGGCCAACCCTGCAGCTTGAATCCCAGATCCAGCATCTCGAGAAACATGTTGAGAGTGTGTATATGTATGCACATGTGCCCAGAATTCTGAAAGCAGGGAGTAACCGAGGAGAAGGGTTTGCGGCCTGACCATTCCCCACGGAGCGTGCTTTCTCCTCCACGCTGTCTCTCTGGCAAGTGCACGTGTCCCCCAGCACGCACACACACACACACACACACGGATGAGCAGAAATTGGACATCTAGGACTGGGAGAAAGGCATTACAAAGACACACGGAAGACAAATCCCAAACCTAGAAGGGATCATGAATTGCCGGGTTGGCAGGGACAAGAGGTATGAATGAGGTAACAGGGAGGTGGAAGGTGGCCAGGTCCAAGAGATGGAGGTACTGCGAGGCCCTGGCGATGCTCTGCCGTGTCTCATGACTAGTCTTGCCTGACAGAGGAAGTATGTCAGGTAGAACAGGGACAGGGGCTCAAAGGAGGCAGACCAGGTGCGACATCGTTCCACTGTCCCCTCGGAGAGGTAAAGGGAAGACGTGAGCAGGGGAAGAGCAGTCGGAATAAAGAGGGGAAGCAGATGGGAGGCCTCTCCCAAAGGGCAGTAGACTGGCTGCACTTGGCAGCCCATCACAGGGGGAGGGAGAGGACTTGTCAAAGGTGACTCTGAGGTTTGACCCAGATGGTGACATTACAGATATTAAAGGTGACATAACAGGTGACCAACATGAGGACAAGGTGAGAGGTGGATTTGGAGAGAAAGGCTGAGTTCCTTTTGGACGTGTGAGTTTGTGACACCAGCTGAGAACGCTAACAGGTAGTTGGAAATAAGGGCCTGGGGCTTGGAGGAGGACTTGAGGTGAACACACGGAAGTGGGGGTCAGGATGACTAGTGCAGGGATGGGGATGGGACCGTCGGAGGGACTCAGAGGACAGAGAAGAGGGGATGAGAGCAGAATCTTAGAGAACTGAAGAAACTAGAAAACTGACTATAAGGTCAGCAGGTGGCATGGAGGTTAGGGTACTGGATCCGACAGGGCCCACTGTACAGTTCGAATCCCAGACCTGATGGCTTTAAAATCACACTAGCATGTGTGCATGTGTGTTCAAAAATTCCAAGAGATGGGGCCAGCAGGTGGCGTGGTGGTTAAGGTACTGGATACTCCCACATGCAAACCACAGTTCAAGTCCTGGACCTGGTGGCTTGCTTTCTCACTCCACCCCCCCACCCCCCATGTCTGTCTCTGGTCAAATGAAAATAAATGAATAAATAAATTGAATTAAATTAATATTTTAAAAAATTCCAAGAGAATGGAGAAGGAATTGTGATGTAGCCATGCTCCCTGAGGGTGGGAGGAGAGATTTCCCATTCTCTCCCCCTCTCTCTCTTTCTCTCATTTCTCTAGTAAGCACACACACCCTATAGCAAACACTAAGAGAAAAAAGAAAAAGAAAATGGGATGGGGACCAGCAGTTAGCGTAAGGGCTATGTCACTGGACTTCCATGTAGTCAACCATGGTTCGAGTCCCAGACTCGGTGGCTTAAACTCCCGCCGGGTGCATGTATATGCGTGTCCAAGATCCCGAGAGGAGAATGGAGGAGAAGGGATTGCAGGGTGGCCATCCCCCCTGGGGGGTGATTTCTCGCTTGCTTTCTGTCTCTCTGTCTCTCTCTGTCTGTCTGGTGAGCACACGTGCCCTATGGCAAAAACCTCTCCAAAAAAATAAAAAAAAAAGAAAGAAAGAAAATGGGATGCAGACAGATGGATAATACTTAGAAGCAAGAAAGGAGTAAAACCAGAGCAATAGGTGTGACCAGAAGCCAAGAGAAGACGACATTGCGGGGAGGGTTTGGACAGCAGAGCCCATACTGACCAGAGTTAGAGAAGGTCATTGACTTGGCTGGTAGGAGGTCACTGTGACTGCAGTTGAGAAATGTAAACAGAAGCCAAATTACAAAGAATGTAGGGGTAGGCAGCAAAAAATGGCTGCCCAAAAGATTGGGTATGGCCAGTCTTTTCAGATATTTACTAACGAAGTAAAAGAAAGAAATGAGGTGATGATTCGAGGAAAGAGTAAGATCAAAGCAAGTGTGTGTTTTATATCATAAAGATGTATATATATGGGGGACCAGCAGTTGGCATAATGGCTATGTCACTGGACTCCCAAGTAGTCAGTCGACCGCGGTTCAAGTCCCGGACCCGGTGGCTTAAACTCACGGTGGACGCATGTGCATGCTTGCCCAAAATCCTGAGAGGAGAATGGAGGAGAAGGGGTTGCAGCCTGGCCATCCCTTCTTGGGGGGATGGTGATCTCTCAAAAAAAAAAAAAAGATGTTTATATATGGTAGGAAAGAGAAGGACCAAGTAGAGAGGAGAAACTGGCTTTCATGGCAAGAAAAAGGAAAAAAAAAAAAAAAAAGGAGAGAAAAGAATCCCAGAAGAAATGAACAGGGAGGAAAGGGAGGAGAATTCACCCTGGGCTGAAGGGTAAGGGGTGGAAAATAGCTGAGTAGCTGAGGCCCTGCTCTGAGACAGGTGCGGTGCCAGGTCACGGCCCAGTTCATCTCTCAAGAACCCTGGAGGTGGGTGTCGTTATCCTCATTTTTCAGATGAGGTGATTGAGACTCAGAGACGCTGCCCTGCTGGTACGCGGGGGAGTGGGTCTCGGCCTCCGTCCTGCTGTGGGGTCCTTCGCTGACACACACGCCTAGTTCCCAGGAATGACAGAAAGGGCACGGCTCAGACATGGGGAAGATCGCTGCAGCTCCTTCCCATTCTGCTGCCACAGGAAGTTGGAAGCAGATCACCCGTTCCTGAAGGAGATGCGAGACCGAGGGGAGAACCTGTACGTGGTGATGGAGGTGGTGGAGACCGTGCAGGAGGTCACCCTGGAGAGGGCCGGCAAGGCGGAGGGCTGCTTCTCCCTCCCATTCTTCGCTCCACTGGGGCTACAGGTTTGGCTCTGACACATGCAACACACACACACACACACACACACACACACACACACGGTCGGCCCCTTCTCAGAGGTTTCAATAACTGCCCAATCAGAGGCCATCCAGAATATTGAAAAGGACCATGCTCTTCAAAAAAGACCCAAACCCCAGGCGCCAGCAGGTGGCATGGAGATTAAGGCGGCTGGATCCCATGTGGCCGGCTGTGCAGTTTGAGTGCTAGACCTGCAGTCTGAAAATCATGCCGAGTGTGTGTGTACGTGTGTGTGTGTGCACCCAAATACCCCGAGAGAATGGAGGAGAAGGGATTGTGGCATGGCCATCCCCTCTGGGAGGGTGATTCCTCACCTTCCCTCTCTCTCTCTCTCTCTCTGTCTCTCTGTCTCTCTCCAGTGAGTGCATGCGTCCTACAGAAAAAAAAAAGAAAGAAAGATCCAAACCCCAGACACAAGTGTCTCCTCTGGTCAGTAGCGCCCAGTATGGACAGACCCCTGCGGGATCCCTGGAATGTTGTGAGGGAAACTCAAACTCATGGATTCTCCCTCCTGGTGCTCTCAGTCTACAGGGAAGATAGCCTTGCTCACTAAGGCTCTCAGGTTCATAGGGGAGACAGGTAGGTTAAGGCCCAGAGAACACAGGCTTAGAAAGTTCTGTGAACATAAATAATGCTTTACATGCATGTATCTCTTGAGCATAAATATTCAAAGAATGATTTGGAATTCGGAGCCAAGAGTAGGGGTTAGTCATGGAAGGCTTCCTGAGTGAGGCAAGCATGGGACAGATGGTGCAGAGGAGGGCACTAGACCTAGATGGAAGCTCTAGGTGGGGCAGGGTGCTGCTCCGGCAGGTGATGGAGCAGGTCTGCCCAGTTCCCTTTGTGTGTCTGATCTAGGAAGAGAGATGCAGGTCATTAGAGGGATGGTCAGGGAGATGGGCAGGAGGCCTTCGAAGCCCATCCCAGGACGTCCAGGCCAGGTGGAAAGGTAATCAGGGATGTGAGCTAAGAATTCCCAACTTCTTTTTCAATTTTACTTATTTATTCAGAGAGTTTGTTTGCTTTTGTTTCATTTTGTTTTGCTATAGAGCACGCGCGCTCACCGGAGAGACAGAAAGTGAGAAATCACCCCCAGGGGGGATGGCCACCCCGCAATCCCTTCTCCTCCATTCTCCTCTCAGGATCTTACACACACACACACATGTGCCTTGAGTGAGTTTCAAGCCTCCAGGTCCGGGATTCAAACTGCAAATGATCATGTGAGAATCTAGAGCCTTAACCACTACACCACCTGCTGGCCCCAGAATTCCCTACTTCTCATCCCCCTGAGGCTCTCAGGTCTGGCCTTCCACCTACTCCCTACCCCTATTCCCAATGTCTCATACTTAGAATCTCTTCAGACCCATAAATCCTGGCTGTCTAATCCTAGGGATCCGTAAACCACAAGGAGGCTGTAACCATCCCCAAGGGCTGCGTCCTGGCCTTCCGAGTGAGACAGCTGATGGTCAACGGCAAAGATGAGTGGGGTAAGCAGAGACCAGCACGTTCTTCCTCAAGATGAGACTCACCCGCGCCTAGTCCCTCTGGTGGCCACGTCAGGGAATGAGTGGAGTAGTATATTTTATTGTGGCTCCTCTGGCCGGGATAGAGCTGGAGAGAGGAGCTGCTCTGGACAGAGGGATGGAGGAGGTTCTGGGTTCTGAGCATCTCCTGGGTGCTAGACACCGGTTGTTGAGGGGAGGGGGTTCAAAAATGAACAAGATATCTTGGGCCAAAGAGAGAAACAGACACAGATACCTGTACCACTGTGCAAAGTAGAAAATAGTGTCCTTGAGACCAGCAGATAGCATAATGGTTATGTCGCTGGACTCCCGCATGGTCGACTGCAGTTAGAGTCCTGGACCCAGAGGCCTGAAACTCACACTGGGTGCACGTGCGTGAATGCCCAAAATCCCAAGAGGAGAATGGAGGAGAAGGGGATTGCAGTGTGGCCATCCCCACTGGGGGGTGATTTCTCACTTTCTGTCTCTCTGTCTCTGTCTCAATGAGCACATGCACCCTATAGCAAAAATCTCCTTAAACAAAAAAATTAAATAACAACTCAAAAAAAAAAAAAAAAGTAGTGTCCTCATGGGAGAGTTTACAAGGGGAGAAGATTACTCCCAGCAATGGAGGTTGAGTAGAGGATTAGATTAGGGACTTGAGGGCTAGTATCCTGGCTTTTAGAGCCCTAGCTGAGACTACAGAAGAAAAGGTGGGGCACTGGCTAAGTGTCCTCTGCTCACCCCTCTGCTCCTCCTTACAGATATTCCACATATCTACAATGATAACATGCAAACCTTCCCTCCCGAAGGTAAGTGAAAGTGCTTACTGGCCCCCATCTTCTGCCCGACCCCTGACGTTAGCGGCGTTTTACAGACGAGGCAACTAAGACTCAGAGACTAAGACTCCACTCTCCAGCAGAATGTACTATAAACCCCTAGAAGTCCCTGCTTGGTTTCCCAGGTCTCTGAGTATCTACCTTGACTACAGGAAAGACAGACAGAGGCACATCAATAATGCCCAAGAGAGACAGAGAAACCAAAGATGGAGGCTGGAAGGCTCTATCGGAAGGAGAAATGAGACTAGCAGGCAGCATGTGTTCCCAAATTGTGGGGGCGGGTGAGCTGACATCATCTCCATGTGTTTTTATAATGATCACTGATCAAGCTGCCTGACAACTGCTCGAGATAAAAGGACAGGAATAGGTTTTATGCTGACAGGTGTGAATTGTTTCTGTCTTCAGGAAAGCCAGAAGAGAAGCTCACCCGTAAGTGTCTCTTTTCATTCCACTGTATCTTCCTTGACTCGGAATTTTAAAATTCTATACTCTTTTTCTGTCCTTCTCTGTGGGATTGACAGGGAAAATGGCAGAGCAGGTCTCAGCAGACAATTGTCCCTAAAACGTGGGAGAAATTCCAAAAGCAGGGGAAGGGGGAAGTCTTGGACGAGATGCCCAGGTGGTGTGATGGTTTAGACAGACCTTTGACCTCAAGGGCCTGTGCGTGTACAACCTGTTACACACACATCTGCAACTCTGTCACCCAGCAACTGGGGCAGGACCTCTGAGTCACAGTGACACCAACTCAATCCAGGTGCTCCTTTACACCATCCATTAGCTTTCCTCCTGACCCACTCCTGCCTCCTAGGAATGGGGCAAGAGTGTCCTTAGATATCTGGGGTCTGGGACCAGCAGGTGGGGTAGTGGTTAAGGGCTGGACTTTCATGTGGCTGACTGAGGTTCACATCACAGACCCAGTGGTTTGAAACTCACTCCAAGCATGTGTGCATGCATGCCCAAAATCCTGAGAGGAGAATGGAGAAGGGATTGTGGTGACATGGCCATCTCCCCCCTGGGGATGATTTCTCTTTTTCTGTCTCTCGGTCTCTCTCTGTCTCTCTGGTGATCTACATGTGTATGTGATCTATAGCAAAAAATAAATAAGTAGCTGGGATGTTTCGGGAGACAGAACATGTTTCCCCATCCCTGTCAGTGTCGTGTCTCCTGGCTAGAGCTGGCATCCTGAAGGAGTGTGTTCTTAACTGTTGTCTTTTTTTTCTTCTCATTTTCTCAGTTATCCAGGCATCTGATGTTGGTAAGGAATTTTGTGAGTTTCTCCCAAGACTTTGACAAGAGGGTGGCAGGAAAGGGATAAGGGCAGAGAGATGAGAAAGCGTTTGAGTCCCGGGTCCTGGGGATAAGAGCCACTCGCTCCAAAGCAAGCTGGAGTATCCCAAGGATGCCAGGCCCCCGGAGGGTCGAGCTATGATTCAAACTGTCCCTGATCCCCCTACATACCTGGACGCAGACCCAGTGTTCTCTGGAAGAGCCCCAGCGTGGTCTTCGCTCAGTTGCCACGTCACTCATCTTTGTCAACGAACTCATGAGGAGGGAAACAGGCCTTCCTGCTCAACTTTAAGCTGGAAACTTAGAGAAAGGGAGGACATCGTGTACTGAGATGAGTCGAGGCCTGGGATCTCAGGGAAACCCAATGGTTGGATGAAATGATAACGTGGGTCCTGGCTCACCTTCTCACCTCAACCCTCAAGTCACGGCTGGTAGATGACTTCATAACCTTAACCCTTGGTAGAGAAAGCAGAGGCCAGGCTCCAGACAGGAGCAGGGCATGGCGGCTTGAGGGAAGGAGCCCTGCAGGGAGAATGCTTACTGAACAGGGAGGGCCCCAGATAGAGAGCTGCTTGCCACATTTCCTGTCCCCATAGGGGAGGTACATGAGGACTTCAAGACCCTAAAAGAAGAGGTTCAAAGAGAGACCAAAGAAGTGGAAAAGCTGAGCCAGGCCGGGCAGAGGTCCCTGCTCAGCTCCCTCAGCAAACTTCTAGGGAAGAAAAAAGAGCTACAAGACCTTGAACTCACGGTGAGCTTCCAGTGGAAGGATGGCAGACGGGCCGAGGGAAGATTTTGCTAGAGGTGGGGGTGAGTATTGCAGCTGACTGGGGGATCTGACAGTGGCAGGAGCCAGTGATGTGGGGAATCGATAGTGGACGCCTCCCCCACCGCTGGCCAGGTTGCCCAAGCTGCCAGTCCACTGCTGCTCCCTGGGTGCTCTGGAAAAGGACACACAGTATGGTTCCCCCACGGCACCTGCTCCCTCCTGATGGACAGAGGGTGAGCAGCAGGCTAGAGGGCCTCGTGCTGGGAGGAGGCTAGAAGATTTCCTTTCCAGGGTCCGAAACTCAGGGACCAAGGAGCCCAAGGGTCCGATTCTTGTCAGAACTTGACAGTTCAAAATAAGGAGGGAATGGAGAGTGTTCGTACGTGACAAGGATTATAATGTGCCAGGTACAGTGATGGGACCTTTATACATGTTATCTTAAATAGTCACCCACCTTTCCCCACAGCTTGAAGGGGCTTTAGACAAGGGGCATGAAGTGACCCTGGAGGCACTCCCAAAAGATGTCCTACTATCAAAAGACGTGATGGGTGCCGTTCTCTATTTCCTCGGAGCCCTAACAGGTAAGCCAGGAACAAGGTCTTCATTTATAGTCCTTTCCAGGGGTAGAAATGAATCACTTGAACGGCACCCCAAAAGGGTCAATGAATGCCAGGCAACTCATATCACAGTTAAGTAGTTTATATCTACATTTTAAAACAAAAAATGGGGCCAGCAGTTGGCACATGGTTCCGTTGCTGGACCCCCACATGGCCAAGTGCCATTTGAGTCCGGACCTGGTGGCTTGACAATCACACCAGGCCTGTGTGCATGCTTGCCCAAGATCCCGGGAAGAGAATGGAGAAGGGATTGGGGTATGGCTATCCTCCTCCCTTCCCTGGGGGTGTGTGTGTGTGATTTCTCACTTTCCCTCTCACTGTTTCTGTCTCTCTCTGGCGAGCGCACGTGCCCTGTGGCAAAACCTCTAAAAAGAAAAAAAAAAGAGTTTCGTTCCAGGGGCCTGCAGGTGATGTGGAGGTTAAGGCACTTGATGCCACGCGGCCGACTTGCAGGTTCACACCCTGGACCCAGAAGCTTAAAAATCACACTGGAGGGGCCAGCAGGTGGTGGGGTGTTTAGGAGCTGGACTCCCATGCTGACCGTGGTTCGGGTTCCAGACCTGGTGGCTTGCTTTCTCATTTTCCCTCTCTCTCTCTCACTCTGTCCCTCTCTGGTCAAATAAATAAAGTTAAAATAAATCTTTAAAAAAATCATACTGAGCACATATGCATGTCCAAAATCCTGAGAGGAAACTGGAGAAGGAATCGTGGCCACTCTTCCTCTCTCTCTGGCAAGTGCACACACCCTATAACAAAACTAATATATATATATGTATTTATTTAATATATATTATATATTTATTTTTATATTCTATATAATATATGCATATAAATTTATACTTACATATAAACATATATTTCTATGTATATATATTTATAAATAAATATATTTTTATATATAATTTTTTTTCCCAAAAAAATTCACTATGGCAGCCATGGGAGTCTGAGAAGACGAGAGGTTGGGAAATAATCCTGGTTCTGTCAGCTGCATATTTAAAACTTCTGCATGTAACTAAGTTCATCACTTTTATACTGATCCCTTTAGCTTTAATTTCAGGTGTTAATTTTCAGGTTAAGATGTTTTGCTCTTGCCCCTGAATTATCTTCTTCCTTCCGCATGAAACACTTCCCCACTTAGAAAAACTCTTTGGTCTTTCAGGTATAAGCTGAGATGTTGTTCTCTTGAGTCTGCCCTCCGACTCCAAGACCAAGCAGACCTGTCAGCTGTGGCTCCCCCAACAGCCTGGACTGGGTCACACCTTACTGTCTCTTTTCCACAAGGCCACAGGTTCCTAAAGTAAAGAGAGTTCAGTTTTCTTTCTCTTTCTTCCTTTCTTTTTTAAAAATTTGCTATAGGGCACATGCACTAGCTGGAGAGAGAGAAAATGAAAAATCAATCCCCCTTCCTGGGGGGATGGCCACACTGCGATCCCGTCTTCTCCATTCTCCTCTCAGGGTTTTGGGCACACAGGCACCCAAACTGTTTCTCAAGTCACCAGGTCCAGGACTCGAACTGCACAACTGACCACATGGGATCCGGTCATCTTAACCTGCATGCCAGCAGTTGGCCCCGAGAGTGCAATTTTTACCTAGGTGTCTGGCATGAAGCAGGCATTCACCGTGAAGGTGGCAATGCCCGTATGGCGCCATCCTGGGAGAAGTGCACCTGTCTGGGATCTGTAGCTCCCTCTGCACCTGCGACACCCATCTCTTCTCTTTATTCTCTAGAGCTAAGCGAAGCCCAACAGAAGCTGCTGGTAAAATCCATGGAGAAAAAGATCTTACCTGTGCAGTTAAAGTTGGTGAGAAAATAAGGGTAGATGCTGGGGAGAGTGGGAGGGAGCACCGAGTGGGGGGAGATGCACATTTAGTCTAGTGACAGAACATCCTAGAGGGCCCTGTCTTATCCCAGGAGGTCACGCCTGCGTTTCATTCCTCTGCAAGTTTTTTCTTTGCTATTTCGCACGAGGTAGAAGAGTGAATTTCTGGCGATGACCTGGATTTGTCAGGTTGATCTTTTATTTATTTATTTTATTCAACTTTCTTTCTTTCTTTATTTTGACCAGAGAGGGACAGAGTGAGCGTGAGAGAGAGAGAAAGTGAAAAAGCAAACCACCAGGTTCAGGACTTGAACCACAGTCAGCTATGTGGGAGTCCAGCCTAACCACCACAACACCTGCCAGCAGATGGCATAATGGCTACATTGCTGGACTCCCATGTAGTCGACTACAGTTCAGGTCCTGGAACCAGTGGCTTAAACTCACACTGGGCACATGTGCATGCGTGCCCAAGATCCTGGGAGGAGAATGGAGGAGAAGGGATTGCGGCATGGCCATCCCCCCGGGGGGTGATTTCTCGCTTTCTGTCGCTCTGTCTCTGTCTTTCTGGTGAGCGCATGTGCGCTATAGTGAAAACTTCTCAAAAAAATATGAATAAATATTAAAAAAAAAAAAAGACCCTAGAGAGAGCAGTAATAGAGGGTAAGGCAAGGAGGTCCAGTAAGAGGCAAGCAGCTTTCTTTGTGATGTGTGTGAGTTAGGAGAGAGGAAGAGTGGTTTCCCGTTCTTTCTCTTCACACTGTCTTGGTTCTTTCTAGGTGGAGAGCACAATGGAACAGAATTTCCTGCAGGATAAAGAGGGGGTTTTCCCCCTGCACCCCAAGCTGCTCTCTTCCCTTGGAGAAGAGGAATTGACCCTCACAGAGGCCCTAGTAGGACTGAGTGGCCTGGAAGTGCAGAGATCAGGTCCCCAGTACATGTGGGACCCAGACACCCTCCCCCGCCTGTGTGCCCTTTATGCTGGTCTCTCCCTCCTTCAGCTGCTCACCAAAGCTGTCTAACCTGCCCTTCCCATCTGCTTCCTGCATCCCTATTGCTTTCTCAACCTCATTGTGCTGTGTCCTCAACACCCAGACCCGTTTCAGAGCCACCACACAAAGGGTGACTGAAATCTGGTCACCCACCTGGGCAGCCATGTATCTCCCTGGGCCCTCCATTCCCAACCTGCGAACCTGTCTGTTGATGCTTAAACCCTGTAGAAGTAGAATCCCTCAAACTGTTTAAACTATGAGCCGTTCCAGCAAAATCAAAAAAATAAATCGATTTCCTATCTTAACTTAATCTGTACTTCCACAAGGCAAGTTTTACTGGAATTAATAGAAAATATGTCAATTGGGGGACCAGCAGTTAACATAATGGCTATGTCACTGGACTCCCACATAGTCGACCACGGTTTGCGTCCCAGACCCAGTGGCTTAAAACTCATGCTGGGCGCGTGTGCGTGCGTGCTCAAGATCCCGAGAGGAGAATGGAGGAGAAGGGATTGCGACGTGGCCATCCCCCCTGCGGGGGGTGATTTCTTGCTTTGTCTGTCTCTCTCTGTCTGGCAAGTACACGTGCCCTATAGCAAAAACCTCTAAAAAAAAATGTCAGTTGGGACCAGCAGGTGGTCTGGTGATTAAGGGGACTGAACTCCCACATGGCCAACAGCAGTTCGAGTCCCAGACCTGGCAGCTTGCTTTCTCACTTCCCCCCTCTCTCTCTCTCTCCTTCTCTCTCTGTCCCTCTCTGGTCAGATTTTAAAATATTAATAAATAATAAAGTTAAATAAAATAATTCTTTAAAAAGAAAATATGTCAATTTTAGGATGTTTTTCTTTAAATAATTTATCAAGGGACCAGCAGGCGGCGCAACTGTTACGTCTCTAGACTCCCATGTGATCGATCACTGCTTGTGTCCCAGACCTGGTGGACTGAAACTCCGCCAGGTGCTTGTGTGTGTATGCCCAAGATCCTGGGAGGAGAACGGATTGAGGCATGGTCATCTCCCTTGGGGGGAATTTCTCACCTTCTCACTGTCTCTGTCTCTCTCTCTCTCTCTCTGGCAAGCACACACACTGGCACAAACCTCTACAGAAAAAGAAAGAAAAATACACAGGCGGCATGTGCAAATGTACCCAAAATCTTGAGACCAGAATGGAGAAGAGATAGCAGTGTGGCCATCCTCCGTGGGGGATACTCTCTCATATTCTCTATCTTCCTCTCTTTCTCTGGTAAATGCATGTGCCCTACAGCAAAAATTTTAAAAAAACAAAAATTATTGGGCCAGTAGGTGGCCTGGTGATTAAGACAGCTAAACCCCACAAAGTCAACCTTGTGGTTTCAGTCCCAGACCCAGTGGTATGCATGCCCAAAATATTTTTTTTTAAGAATTATTTTATTTGGGGCCAGCAGTTAGCGTAATGGCTATGTCGCTGGACTCCCACGTAGCCGACTGCGGTTCGAGTCCCGGACCCAGTGACTTAAACTCACGCCGGGCACATGTGCATGCGTGCCCAAGATCCCAAGAGGAGAATGGAGGAGAAGGGATTGTGGCATGGCCATCACCCCTGGAAGGTGATTTCTTGCTTTCTGTCTCTCTGTCTCTCTCTGTCTGTTTGGTGAGCGCACGCGCCTTGTAGCAAAAACCTCTCCATAAAAAAAAAAAAAGTAAAGAATTATTTTATTTAACTTTATTTATTTATTTTATTTATTTTAATTTGACAAGAGAGGAAAAGAGAGAAAGGGAGAAAGTAAGTCACCATGTCTAGGACTCGAACCACAGTGGGCCATGTGGGAGTCCAGCACCCTTTACTATGCCAAAACCTAGAGATACCTGGTACAAGCCCAACAAAAGTAAGACGATTTTCACGTTTGCTTAAAAAGAAAATTCAGATAAATCTTTAAGAAACAAAACAAAACAAAATGTACCTAAGAATAAAACTGACCCAAAACTTTAAAAAGTTGTGATATAAGGGCCAGTAGGTGGTGTGGTGGTTGGGGCATTGGACTTCCCCCATGACCAACTGTGGTTTGAGTCCTGGATCTGGTGGCTTGCTTTCTCATTTTTTCTCTCTGGTGAGAGTATGTGCCCTATCACAAATTAAAAATAAATAAATAAGGGACTAGAAGTTGGTGTAATGGCTATGTCACCAGACTCCCACGTAGTCGACTGTGGTTCGAGTCCTGGTCCCGGTGGCTTAAACTCACGCCGGGCACATGTACATGTGTGTCCAAGATCCCAAGAGGAAAATAGAGGAGAAGGGATTGTGGTGTGACCATCCCCCCTGGGGGGTGATTTTTCACTTTCTGTCTCTTTGTCTCTCTCTGTCTTTCTGGCACGTGCACATGCCCTATAGTAAAAGCATCTCCTAAATAAACATATAAGTAAATTAATTAAATAATAATTTTTTCCTTTTTTTAAAATTTGTTATTATTTTTTTTTTGAGAGGTTTTCTCTATAGGGCGCATGCGCTCGCCAGACAGACAGAGAGAGACATAGAGACAGAAAGCGAGAAATCACCCCCCAGGGGGGATGGTACGCCGCAATCCCTTCTCCTCCATTCTCCTCTCGGGATCTTGGGCACGCACGCACATGCGCCCGGCATGAGTTTTAAGCCACCGGGTCCAGGATGCGAACCACAGTCAACTACGTGGGAGTCCAGCGACATAGCTATTACGCTAACTGCTGGTTCCCGAATTTGTTATTATTGTTATTATTACTTAATTTGACCAGAGAAAGACAGAGGGAGAGAGAGAAAGGGAAAGTGAGAAGGCAAGTCACCACATCCAGGACTCAAACCATGGTTGGTTATGTGAGAGTCTAGCACCTTAACCACAGTGCCACCTGGCAGCCCCTAAAATAATTCTTAAAAAAAAAAAAAAAAAAAAAAAAGATGTGCTATGGGGACTAGTAGGTAGCACAGTGGTTAAGACACTGGACTCCCACATGGTCGACCATGGTTCAAGTCCTGGATCTGGCAACATTCTCTTTCTCTTCTCTCTCTTGGGTGAGCACATGTACTCTATAGAAAAATTTTAAATATTAATAAGTAAAATTTTCAAAATAAATAATTAAAAGTAAAGAGTCATAATATTTAAAAGCTGTGATAGTATCTTCTGCCTTCAATTCGGGGTACTTAAAGAAAGAAGTGGAATGGGTAAAGTTGGCATACAGACCTGCCAACACATGCACTGCAATCTTTTTTTTTTTTTTTTCATGCACTGCAATCTTATCACCACTGGGTGTATATTATCCTCCTCTGCCTAAACTTGCATTTGAACATCTTTCATCAATCTCTTTTTAAATAATTTTATTGGGACCAGAACATGATGTAATGGTTATGTTGCTGGAATCCCACATAGTTGACTGTAGTTCAAGTACCAGACCTGGTAGCTTAAAACTCAGGGTGGGTGCATGTGTGTGTGTGCCCAAACAGGAGAATGAGAAGGGATTGTGGCATAGCCATCCTCCATGGGGGGTGATTTCTTGCTTTCTGTCTCTCTGTTTCTCCAGGGAGCACACACACCCTATAGCAAAAATCTCTCTAAAAGAAACAAATAGTTTTATGGGCAAGATGATTTCTCTGCGGCTTTAGGCCCCAGGAGTCAGATTCCCACCTTTTTTAGCAAACACGTACCCAGGCTAGTTTCCTCACTCACCAGGAACTCATGACCAACTGCCAAAAGCTCTGTGTTAAGCTATCCTCCCCCGATCTGGGCATCATCCAAAGCCTATCTATATTGCTCATGGACATACTGGGTTGTTATCTGCTGACTTGATTGTATTTCCCCTGTGATGTAAACTTAACAAAGAGGTGAGCTAACATCCTAACTGTCTGGTAGGGCAACTTCTGTGATAGTCAGGATGAACAACAAAGACCATCTGTTTTCTCCCTTTACCATTTTCCGCCCACTTCCAGTTACAGAAATGCTGCTGTGAAGATGCTTTAATGAGTTTATTCCAGTGATGATTCAAAAGCCCCAGGGAGTGACAGAACAGTTAGGGAGGAACTGGTCAAGGCATGTTCTCTAAAACTGGGGCACACATTTTTTCCCATTTAGTAAGTTGCTATTTAAAGCAAGGAATATTGCATTAAATTGTATCTGCTGTAATAGTGTGAAAAAGGTACAAAAGATATGTAAGATATCTTTTATATATATAAAGAGGGACATCCACAAAACAAATTCTCTGCCTGCTAAGTCCTTACAACAGAGACGGATTGTAAGTTCTGTCCAGAGTCTAACATTTAGGAATACTATTTATGAAGAGATACGTTCTGAGATACAGAAGGAGTTTTCATTTTGTGTCTTAAGAAATTGGGACCTGGAACCAGCAGTTAGCGTAATGGCTATATCATCGGACTCCCACGTAGCCGACCGTGGTTCGAGTCCCGGACCCAGTGGCTTGAAACTCACGCCGGGCGTGTGTGCGTGCGTGCCCAAGATCCCGAGAGGAGGGAACCAGCAGTTAGCGTGGTGGCTATGTCGCTGGACTCCCACGTAGTCGACCGCGGTTCGTGTCCCGGACCCGGTGGCTTAAAACTCACGCCGGGCGCGTGTGCGTGCGTGCCCAAGATCCCGAGAGGAGAATGGAGGAGAGGGGATTGCGGCGTGACCATCCCCCCTGGGGGGTGATTTCTCGCTTTCTGTCTCTATGTCTCTCTCTGTCTGTCTGGCGAGCGCACGCGCCCTACAGTGAAAATCTCTCTCAAAAAAA